CGTCGTTGATTTTCTGTATAATCGATTCATGTTTTTTGGAAAATCAACGGCAATTTTACAGAAAATTAGTTTGATTTTTACAGAAAATCAATTTGCATTTTATGAAAAACGTAAAATTCTTGAAAATCACATTTTCAAGAAAGCAGAAAATCACCGATGAATTCGTATGTGGACAAATTGAAAATCGTTTTTTATTTTATATAACTTATTTTCCACTTTACAGTGTACAGAATAATTATGAATAAGTATAGAAACCAAATGTGTTTTTTATTGCCGCAATTGTATACTTACCGTTAAAGAATTATTTAGAACCTTCTTGAAGTAGGGAAATCGATAGAGTTTTGCACGGACTACTTTTTCATCTATCTGGTTTTCAAGAAAACATTTGTCTTCACACTCTAGTAAAAAAATAAAGAAAACAAGTATGTTGCACGAGCATTTTTAGCGACATCGTACTTTTTCGTCCTCAAAGCCAATCTCAAAAAATTTTGTTGCCTATGTTTTTTGAGGTTCAGACTTTGCTCTTTTAACTAGAAAAGAATGAGCTTTCGACGAATTTCCTGAGTGGAGAACTATGGCTGGAGATTTCGACAATTACTCTAGATCATTCATGTCAAAAGTATATAAAAGAGAGAAAAGACGAATAAGTAACTTTTTGGCGGGGTGCCTCATTCTAGACCGAATTCGTCCACATCTGCCAGTCATCTTCTTCGCAACAAGAAATGAAGAAAGTACCAAATCATAATGAAAATGAACTATTAAGCAATGCCACACTATAGACTGAAACAAAACAAAAATTATCCCCAAAACCACTCATTAATTATCAATCTTCTGCTTCCGTTTTATTCAAAAGAAAAAGACGAACAGAAGTAATGTAAACTGAGCAGACTGATAAGTACTTTCACCTCTTATTCGGTTTAATCCATTATGTCTTGGGGTTTGCTTTTTCTGGCTCAATCGGTGTATTATGATCTGGAAGAACTAATAATGAATAAACACCTTGTAAAATTGTTCTCATTGATATTTTCGGTGTCCATTCTCGTTGCAATAAAGCTAAACTAATCGTACCATCTTTTGAATGTATATTTGGATGATCTATTTGTGTTATGAATTTAAATGTAGGTGCTCTCAAGGGATATTCTTGTGTATATGTTATTGTAAATTCCAATGTTTTACCGGCATATGGAGTATCTGGTGGACCCATCATCTTGCCTTTCCACTCGTAGTGATTATCATCAACAGTTTCTAGATTGTTAACAAATTCCAATGGACTTTGTTGTAAATCTTTTAACTCTGTTTCAATACGTAGAACCGTTCTTGATGGGGGCGCTGCCATAGCTTAAACAGAAAAAAGTAAGAATTTTATGGCAAAAATAGTATTCCTGATACGGAATTCATATATATGTGTACATTCTTTAAGCATAGATAAAGTTCTCATTTCGTTTAAGCCTCATATTCCCATTTGTGCTCACATTTCTACCTAGCAGCCATTGCACGTAAGCCACAACCTACTGCTATAGAGAGGTGTTCAAGTTGGAAAAATATCGATCTGTGCCTGAGGCACCGATTTCAGTAAAATTAAAACATCTCAGCTTTGTAAAGTGATAGAGAGGACGAGTATGCATCATCATTCAAGTTAAAGTTTCCCGGACTACCGATGACCGCAGTCATGTATGTCACGTGGTCAATAACGAGTCATCATTTTTGGATCTTAGGGCTATTTTTGAAATATCTTTTCTGCATGCAAGTACAAATATTTTTTGAATATCTTTGCGTCATCGAGTCAAGTAGTTACAGCATAGGAATATGGAACGAAAAATTATGAATTTTTAAGTTCAGAGAGAAAATCAGGTTTTTGAACATTAGAACTTGGTTTTCACCCATGAAAAGCATTTGCGCCAGAGACCAACGGCATACTCATGTTCACCGTCAAAAACTGCATTAGTGATGTGTCATTCGTCCCTTAGCAAAAGTTTTGCTTTCCTCGAAAAGTAACAGCTGCAGGCGTTTTACTCACTAACGAGGGAGCCACCCGAGGTGCTAAATCGCCTTTTGATCGAAATCTAGTGTGTTATAGGTTATCGACCATGCTGATCCCGAATATGACCATGGGAGCTCCCCCAGTCCTCGAAGATCCGGCTTTCGAGAAACTGTAGAAAATAACCAAAACCTTTCTTAACGAAGTATAAGTGTAGCGCGCAAATTTCTGATTAAAATGAGACAGCTTCCAGCTCTACACGACCTTTCTTTCCGAACTTATAGAATTTACAAGAAAAGCCCTAAATGTTCATTGTCAGCTCGAAGCTACAGAAGTAAGAAGGAAAAAAATTAATCTAGAGCTATTCTTGTAAATTCTAGGAAATATCTCATTTTAATCTCGTTAAGAAAGGTCTTGGTTATTTTTTGCGCGTGTTGCATAGGAGATTGAAAATAGTCGACATTTGTTTTGCGTCTGAACAATGTATGTCGTGGCTTATCGTCAATGACTGTTTTTAGAATGACTCTCTGTACATCAACATAATATTCTCGCAAGAGAACCTTTACTAAAAGCTTTTTATGTTTGATAAAAAAAGCCGGAGGGCTAGGCGAAATTTCTTGATCGGCTATCGAAACTCGATCTTTACAGGTTTGTGTACTTTTTTCGCACCTGTCTGCAATATAAAAGAATTTTTTCGTGGTTTTTTCGCTGATATATAACGACATACAAATGTACAAATTAGTTTGATTGAGTGAAACAGAAATACATGATATTATATGAGAACAAACTGAACCAATAAAATTAGCTACCTCATTAGTTTGTCCTCTGTAATATGCTGCATTATTAAATCAACAGAGAATAAGTTAAGTTTGGATCCCATTCTTGTACTTCCGGTTGTCTTTTGATATTTCCTTGGGGAATTTCACACAAAAAAATGGATGTGCGTGCATCCGTACGTCTTCAAAAATTCATTTAAATGTTGCTGCTTACATCTTCTGTTCCTTCTTGTAGGAATAATACTTTTAAATTTGTTCTTCTTTCACAAATACTTCTCACTATCATGTGGTGCGTGTTTCACGCTATGATTTTCATTTGTATGAGTACAAATAACAAAAACAGTTCTTATTCGGTACAACTCCAAAACATTTTCTTTTTTTAGAGAATGAATAATTTTCTTCTAATCGTTTCTCTTTTCTCTTCGTTCTCACTTTTGTTCGTTTTCTTACTGTTCTTTCTCTTCCAGCCTAAGGTGCTGTTTATTCGACATTATGGAGAATTTGCGCTTGCCGCAAGATCAAAACTTCGAACCTTTCGTAGATTAGCCGTGCATTTGTAATTATATATTATCTATGTGTATAGGACTATTTAATATAGTGATCGAATATTGCGCTGTGTGGGATTTTTGGGATGTTTGGAATTTTTGGGATTTTTGGGCGTTTTGGGTGTTTTGGGATTTTTGGGTGTTTTGGGATTTTTCGGATTTTTGGGATGTTTGGGATTTTTGGGTGTTTTGGGATTTTTCGGATTTTTGGGATGTTTGGGATTTTTGCGTGTTTACCAAAGTAGGACGTGGCAAAACTTTCCTCCAGGCGGTTTCGGTGTTGGTCACAACTTATTTTTTGTCAGTGTATTTGACTTCAATTCTTCGTTTCACACGTACACAAAACTGGAATAAGCAAACAGTAACTGTACAAAATTTTGTATGATACATTACAAAAAGATAAGAAATACATTTTCTATATCTACATTAAACCTAAATTTTAAATGAGGATGTGGTATCCAATGCCGGTATTTTGACAGTTTTTAAGATAACACTCTCTACCAATAAAAATGTACTGGCTGTATGATAATTCATATTGCTGATGATGTAAGATGCCAGTAATTCAAAATTACAGCAAGATTTTGTTTTCGCGTTTTTTGGCTTGATGGATAGAGCTCATCGAGCTGCATCGGAAAAACACAACCCCACATTTTACGAATTCGCTCTTGCACATTGTTGCTGTAATTTTGGCACATTGCTACCATTGTTGAATTGACATTTAAATAAGTCAGATAATTTTGGCGAAGTCGGGTCTGCACATCGATGAGCGTGTTTTCAGCAATGTGCAGTTCGCGATCACTTCGGAAATGCAACTATTGCGACAAAAGAAAGCGTTCAACAGTTCGTGAATACAATTCGCTTCTTAAAACATTTCGCAGATTTGGTATGTTTACACAGTGCTCGAAGTGCCAGTTAATTGCAGTGATGTACAATTCGCACGAAAAAACGCCATCTGCAAATTCGTGTCTGTCAGCCTTGGCCACACCACTCCATGTAACTGGAATTGAGAAGATCCGACATTGATTCTTCAAGAGAACTTTTTATTTTCTACGCCACTTTCAAGAATTATCTGGAGCATTTTAGTCTCTTACACTACAATTTTGAGCGTATAGTACTCATCTACGAATTCGCAGAAATACGAATTAATTGCTATGTTCGGAGTGCAAACATTGTGCAAATTTTGACAGCACGTAGCAACCTTATTTCGAATTCCGCTATCGATCAGACGTACTCATCTACGAATTTGCGGAATTTCACGCGCATTAACTGCACTGTGTAGAGTGCAAGAGATCTGCATATTTTTCGAGTAGGGAAACTTTCTGCGACTTTACATATTTATCACGGCTAATCTCGGTGGTATTCTCAGACTTTAGGTACTAATTAACTGCGTCGTGTTTGCAATATGGTTGTGGTATTGACTTCATAATACGTGGATAATAGTTTACATTGCTGAACGAATTCTGTCTTATACATTGTGGGATTCGTTTTCGATAGTCACGGTTTCGAAAGTGCACATTCTTACATAACTCCGAATCGACACACAATTTTTGCTTTGTTTGTTGAAGAATTTGCGTAGTTCGACGAATTCGATCTTGCACATCGTTGTTGTAAATTTGGCACCCACGCTGTGCAAAACTGCACATTGTCCAACTGACATTTCAACCGATCAGCCAATTTTGTCGACTTCGTGTCTGCCCATCGATGAGCATGTTTTCAACAATGTGCTATTCGTGCTCACTTCGGAAATGCAAATTGTTGAGACATAAAGAAACGTTCAATAGTTTCTGAATGCAATTCGCTTCTCGATATCCTTCGCGGATTTGGTATTTTTATACAGTGCTCGAAGTGCCGGTTAATTGTAACGAAGTACAGTTCGCACGAGAAAACGTCATCTGCGAATTGGTGTATATTTTGCTTATGTTAGTCGGCATAAAAGGCTGACTGAAAAAAAAAATCGACTTTTTCTCTTTCAGCTCATCCCATGCATGTGCATTAAAATGCGTACGAAAAAAAGATCGTGCCATACAACACTACTATACATTTTTTTAAATAAAGCAAGATAAATATTCAATACCATGTAATTTTTGGATGGCAACACGTGAAATGAGTTACTTTTTCTTACCCATAACGAGGAAAAACTAGCAATCACTATATTGCTCGAATCTTGTTTAAAATAGTAAAATAAGCGCGGCACTTGAAATGACTATGTGACGCATAAAGTGACTATCACTTATAAGTGTGTGCACTCTTTTAAGAGATCGTTTACCACTTGTTTCTATCTCTCAATTGTTTCTTGTTTTTCAATTGCTATGTACTTACTTTATGTTAATTATATAAACCTGATGCTATTATCTTCTTTAAAAAAAATTGAAACAGAAACATTCAATAACGCAAAAAGAACAAGCAAAAAAGGTTATACTCTACAATAAAACAGAAGAAATGGTCTGTATATACCTCTTCTGTATACACGTGTTAGCAGAGAACAACGATGAAATCATGCGCAGCTTATAGCTAATATATATCCATAGCCACGTGATCTTTGCTTTCTCTTCTCTTCCTTTCTAGAAATATACGAGAATTGGATCACTGGGACTATTAACACAGTTAATTGAGGCACCGATTGAGAATTAATCGCCACTTTAAGTTCTCCCTTCTGTTTAATTTACTCATATATTGCGAGTCTTGACAAGGCTCATAAAATTCTCTTATGAATGCCAAAATCTTACCGCATGAGTTTATAAAAGAACGAATATTGAACTCTCAAAACATAAAAAGAACACTTCTGTTTAGTAGACACATGAGAATGTCATGTTGGATTATTTAACAAATTGTCATACTAATCTTTCGTGCATATTCATAGAACATTAGTTGATTATTGACCATTTGATATCCGTATTTCTTTCGAATGAGAGCATCACTGAAAAATATACGTTCTTTTATTTTAATATTCTAAAAGTAAGTCATGCATGCGGACTTATTCCTTCGTTTAGAGAATTTAACTTGATAATTAGCGATCAGAACAAAAATCAAGAAATAG